CCCATCAGCTGTGGCCTGTGCCCGATACTGGCAGAACGACATTTTAGATTGCTACGGACTCGAAGAAGATCACGTTTGGCGTGTACATCGATTCCTCTGACTATTTGTGGCCCGGTTAGTGATGTCATCAGGTCCATGTGCCCGCTGTGGATGAATCCTCTTAAAGAATCTGCACACATCCGCTCTAGCTCACACTGTCACTCAAAGTTGTTTTTCTCAAACTTAAAGATGCATAGAAGTTCTCCAGTCATATTCCTTTTCTCTGTGTGTTTCAGATCCTGGCGTGTGTGTTTGTGTTTGAGATGCAGAAGAGCTTCTGTTGGGTGATTCAACTCTTCAGCCTGGTGTGCACGGTCAAAGGATACTATGACCGTACGTGCTTTATTCATATTATTATTATTAATAGCTATTATCTAGATAAGCTAGCATAGGTGATTTATTCTTGCATTGTGTTTCATTGTTTTTATCTTGGTTAATAAAGGACAAGTGATTTAGCATTAAACATTACAATTAATAACACAAATAAATCCCTTTTCCTTCTAATTCTTAAACTGGATCAACATTAGACAGTTTTTTTGTTGCTTAAACTCTGACTGTGTATTAATGAGCTTGTCTTTTATGTAACAACATTGCATTCACATGCTATTATATCAGAAAGTCCCACCTGACAGAAGCAGTTACACACAGTAGTGTTCTGCAGAAAGCCACATGAATAATGGTGTGTTTTCTCCCCACAGCAAAAGCAGTGAGTGATAAGACGTGCAGCCTCCCGGTGGAGGAGGCGGGCGTCATCTGGGACAGCATTTGCTTCCTGTGCCTGCTGCTACAGAGGAGGGTCTTCCTCAGTTTCTACTTCCTGCATGTGACCGCAGAGCTGCAGGCCTCTGCCAAACAGGCCTTCAGGTAACACCAGGAAGTGACTGATGAGGGAGTGAGGAAGGGGTCACCAGATAATTAAATGACATTTTATCACAGATCGCAAAAAAGGTGACATACTATAGTATACTTTATGCAAAGTGCCAATAGAAAGTATTCGCCCCACTCTGAATTGTTTGGGTGATAATTGTTAACAACATTGAATTAAAGTAGATTTAAAGTGGCTTGATTGATATTGCTAAAAATGAAACAGTCAGATCTGAATTATTCAGATTTTAATTAGTTGCAAAGATTCATTAACCATTCAAATAATTTCCTGTCACATTAGCCTCACCAAATGCTGGGACCTCTGTCTCTTTCTTCAGGGGGTTCGAGCTCTTCAGAGCCAGCATCGTGAAGAACATCAAGTTCCACCAACAGGTTGAGAGGAAGTCTCTGTCACAGCTCAAGAGATCGTAAGTGTTACACTACAGTAAGTGCAGCTGATGGACATTGTTTCAGGAGAGGCGTTGTAACAGTGGACCAAAGAGAAAGTAGAAATGGAAAGCTGGATGATGTCATTTTTTAAATAATGAGCAGTAACTTCAGTTGCCTTCAAAACAGGCTGGTTGCAGGTGAACGCTCTGTTAGCATTGTTCATCAGTCCACCTATTTTTAATACATTTGTTTTATTATTTTGTACAGACATTTGTGGTGCCCAGACTTTGGTGATCCTCGGATTGTTCCTTATGTTACTGTGCAGCTGAAGTTTTAGGTGTTGGTTGAAAGATCCCCTTAACTTGCTACAGTAGCATGGCTGTAGGCTCTGGCTGATATGTTGTCTGGCTTAAAGCATATGGACACCTGATCTTTGTTCTGTTTTGTGATCGTGGAAGATGTGATTTCCTGAGTGTTGGTTAGGTCCATAGGCTACTGTAACCTAAACAGACTGTAACCCTCAGTTATCAGCACATTGTGAAAGGTTTAGCAATGAGTCGTTTCCCTGGCTTCACCGCGCTTATACAGATTTGGTCTGTTAGGGACTGTCTCTACTTCAAGATTCTTCTAACTGAAGCGGAGGAAAGAGGCAGTGAGCTGCACTGTATTGGAGATGGTGAAGTTAAAATGTTTGTTGACAATAAGCCAAAAAGGTTGTGAGATTAAGTCTGTTCTGAAGGGGATACTACAATAACAACAGAGGAATCGATCAGGTAGATTTTTGTGGGGTATGCTTTGAATGTTCAGACAGTTATGCACATAAGCAGAAATTGTGCTGAAACACATATTAGATACCACAGGTTTATACATTCATTAATAAATAAGGATGTGACAATCAGTTTGTCTCAATGTTTTTGCAAAATTCATTTGTAGCGCCCAATTTAATAAAATGTCAACTTACATTTTTTTTATTAAGACCTGCCTGCCAAACAACCACCACCATTTTCAGTTAGTGGATTAGATGTGGCAAGAAAACCATAGTTGACACCAGGAAGATGTACCTTTACATTAGGGCCACAGATCATAGGTATTATATAATTAATTCTGTTTCCTGACCTTCCCTTTCTGTCCTCTCCTCTCAGGATGCAGAGGATTCGCTCCAAGCAGCAGAAGTATAAAGGTGGACACAAAACAAGTGAAGACTCTACTGAGAGTCACACTGCTGGTAGGTTTACTGGTCGACTAGAAGCTATCAGGAAACCAAACAGATCTCTGGGCCTTTCCGTATGTTAACTTGTTTTTATCTGCAGGTGCTGCGACCTCAGGGTTTTGTCAGTTTGACTTTGAAACACAGAACCCAGCTAGGCCTGCAGATAGAGGAATGTTGTGACAGTGGACTGAACTGTATTGTTTTCACATTGATATACCACATCCTTCACATACCACTTGTTGTTACTAGAGTATATTTGAATGATAATATATGTACGTGTGTACATAAAACTATATGAATCAATGTATAACTATTAATCTGCAGAAGAACCCCACAGCTTGCTGAGACTCACATTCCTGCTGAGGACCTGTTTAGTTTGATCATAAAGCATGCTGCAACCTTGTTTTTGAAAGTTGCACTGTTAACAAAGTTATATTATTATAATCCCATTATGTTGTTCTTTCGAAACCTAAGCCTTTTTCTTACTGACAGTATCCGGGGAGAATCAAGACTGCAATTGTCAGTTTCACACATAACCCACAAAGAAGCCTTCACGCTTACTGAAATACTTTGTTTGGAAGAGATGAGGTGTGGCGCCTGGATAGAGGGTACAGGAGATAAGACGTTTTGGTAAAAAAAAATCAACATTTTAGCAAGGGCCCTTACCAACAGAAGTTCCTGAATCAAGTTGTCTCTCTAGTAAGACTTTTTCGTGGCCATTTTAATAAAAAATGATCCGACCTCTTTGCATTACATGTCACCTGTTAGACGCTTTTATCCAAAGCGACTTGCATACATTCAGTACTGTGGGCAATCCCTACAGGAGCCATTTGGGGTGAAGTGTCTTGCCCAGGGAACCAGCCTCCCACCGGATGTCTGTTTGTTTTGGTTGTATGCAATAAAATCAGCTCTATTCAGACATGGCAAGAACGCAATAATAATGGAATCTCCTGGGCACATTCATGTTTCCATAAAGATAAACCATTTTAACAATCTTTTGACATTCACCTAGCACCACCGAAACCCAAATGAATGTTTTTAAATCTCTATGATTGGCAGAACCATTATCAGGTTTGTCGTGTGAATGAATCCTCTTCCTCCCATCTTAACCTTCTCTTGTTCCCCTCCAGAGGCCAAGAGAGGCAAGAGGGGTTCCAGGAAGAAGTGGCACCAGCCGTGGATGGACCATGCTTCAGGTGATGCAAACATTATCTATCTTTGATTTAAAAACAGGATGCGCTGCTTATAACCTAAATGAGGCATCAACTATACTGTAATGCGGCTTTCACACCAGCGCTTTTCCCTTTCTAGCTCCGAGCTAGAGCTTTTCTGGTTCAGCTCCAGTTTCCCTTTTCTGCTCCCGCTCTGTTCACACCGCCCAGAGCCCGACTGGTGCTGCCGCTGCTGCGTCATGACGTCACCGTTTACGTCGCTGACTTGCTCCCAAACAGCGTTACGGCGCTCACTGCAACAACAACGGGGATCTGCGTTGGGTCGACGATCGTTTTGCTTTTAATCATACGAAGCCAAATTAAATTAAATAACGACTTCGCCAACCTTATACTTTTCTCCAGAGTGCCGTGATTCATTGTTTATTAATGTGTTTCAGCGGCATTTACCGACCGCTGCAGTGCTGCTCGTCCACTGGAGTGTATTCTCACGTTAGCTCCGGGTTAGCTCACACGGCAGCGGCCGCTGTAATGCATTCACTGTCCGACTGTCACACAAGCAGCTGATACGTATCCCCAGTTCCCCTTAAGTCAGTGGT